AGCTCCCAGATCGGCTTCTGATTGGTTGATGCGGCGCGTCCAGCAGCTAAAGTTACAGTTTCCCACCTCCTCAGACGCTCATGAGGCGCCGCTGCTCCTGCTGCTGCGCCTTGATGGGCGTCAACCAGGGACTCTGCATGTGAACCAGCTGCTTCTGGTGTGAACGTAGCATTAGAATGACCGTGAAGCATGACAGCCATGAAACAGCTGCAGCTAATGGGACCATCTCGTTTCACTGGCCTCCCAGCAGATGGCGCCATATTTCTTTATGTCCCAGAGCAGGGATTCTATTTAGGGTTTATTTTATGATTAAATGATTTTTGGATTGTTTCCTGTGGACACATTAGAGGACTGCGGTTTAAAAGAAGTATCTGAAGGCAGTTTTCTGACCTGGGAGGAATATTGGGCTCCGGTGGGGAGACTCTGGGCTCCAGCAGAGCGAACAGCATGGCCTCCACTGTCCTCATGTGAGCCATGACAGGAAACAGAGCTGTGTTCTGCACAGAGATGGACGGCTTCTCTATCAGGTAGAAATCTGCTGATGGGAGGGCCGACACCACCGAGGACACCTGAGGGCGGAAAAGGAAATGGATTCCCAGTCAGACGGATGACGAACCGTCAGGTGGTCTGAAGAGCTGCTGACTCACGTCACTCAGGTATGAAGAAGCCATGTAGGATCCTTTGAAGAAATGAGGACAGTCCATCTGCTGCCATTCTAGGACGTTCATCCCACGGTCCACATGGGCCCAGGCGATCTTATTGGTCCCACATACGATTGAGACGACGGACGCCGCCGCCTGTACACACACAGGTAACCGTGGGAGACCAGCGTTAAGCTGCCTTTGACTTCTTCTCTGCTAAATGTGAGTTGATCTAAAATCACTATTAACTTTTTATCTGACCAAAAAGAAGGATTCCTAACTCCTTTCTAGTCTATATTCATTATAGCCAGTGGCCTCTCTGTTAGCCTCTATGTTAGCCCCTCTGTTAGCCACTCTGACAGCCTCTATTAGCCTCTCTGTTAGCCACTCTGTTAGCCACTCTGACAGCCTCTATTAGCCTCTCTGTTAGCCACTCTGTTAGCCACTCTGACAGCCTCTAT